ACCTGCTGACATTACAGGCCAAAAGCCGTAGCTTCTTCAAATTGAATGAAGCACGTTTTTAAATATATTTATAAAAGTACAATTGAACATGTATTATCATCAGTTTTCAATTTAAACTTTAAACACAGTTTTATTACTTGTAATCCTAGTTGAATACCCTGCTAAACTCTAGTCAATATGGCAAGGGATCAGCCTGGTTCAGTTGTGAGTTTTCTCTCCTCTGTATCAGAAGTTGTTGGTTCAAGACCCATGTCAGGATTTGAGCTCATAATCTAGGTTAATACACAGTGCAGTACTGAGGCAGTGCTTTGTTGTCAGTCTTTTGAATGAAAACTGAATTGAAGTTCCACAAGGAAAGATCCCATAACACTATTTGAAAAGAGGAAGAGGGCTATGGTTGTCTTGATGAAATGGCTATCAATCCAATTAGTCATTCACCTCATAGATATTTATGGGACCCAGCTGATGCAAATGGCTGTCGACAAAAACTGTCTACACACTTGACAACAATTACCTGTGAAATGCTTTGAAAGATTTTGACACGATAAGACACCATAATAATACAAAGTCTTTCTGAATTAATGTATAAACAATGAAATTGCATATACAGTAGAACCTTTGCTTCTTTGTAACATGCATTCACATGTAGTACAATTGGGTGTAGATCCTGACACTTGCCTACCAAAAAATCCAAAATGCTAACGGAAAGATCACTCAAAACATTGGCTTCCCAAATGCTAAACAATTTTCAATTTTCTGGTCATCAGGTCGTTACTGATGTCATTTCTTGCACTTTGCACATTGCACAGGAAGTGACATTCTGATGAATCAGAAGTGTTTTATTTATTGTGAAAAGACAGCCAACTTTTTGCACTCATGCACAGTACATGCAGGCAGAGGAAAATCACTCCACATTTTAATGCTGATTGCGATATTATAGACACCAATTGCTGTGTTATAACAGGGATGTAATTCACCTGTAAAATATAATTTAGTTCCATATTTGTTTTTAAAAAATCACAAAATCTTAATCTAGGTGGATGCAAACTATTTTCTTTCCCTGCTCTACTAATTATCAATTATGCCTATCTGAGCAAGCACTACTTATGAAACCCTCAATTATTGTTTGTTGCTTAAAGAATATATATCCAGAACATTATGAAATCTGCAACCAATCTATCAACAACTATATTATTTACAAAAAGTTATATTTCATTTTATTCCCAAAACATGCAACACCTAGCTCAATTGGTTACACTTTCATATCTAGGTTAAGTCCCAAATCAGAATTTAAATCTTATATTCTAGGCTGACATTCAAGTTTAGCCAGGGGAGTGTTAAATTGTCAGAGGTACCATCTTATGGTTGAATCGTTAAACTGAGATCCTATCTGATATTCAGTTGGAAGTTAACGATCCCGTGACACATTTAAAAAGAGGAATTTCAGCCACTATCCTGTTCAATAATCCTTCAGAGAAACAAAATTAGTTGGCACTTTTGCCTAAAAATATACAGAGAGCACACTGTGAAGCGCGTTGACATGATGGATTCTATATCAAAAGGATGGACTATTATTATAATAACATGCATTCACATAACGGCTCGATGAGCTGAATGACATACTCCTGTTTCTATATTCATAAGGGATAGGAAGACAAGCTTTAGAGCCAAAGGTCAAAAGCAAAACTACCCATCCTGACAATATTCTCTGTTAGACAGCAAAATAGATGAAATAGCAAGATTTTCAACATACTTAAAGGAATGACAGGGAAACAGGAGAGAAGATATGAGGTCATGAACCTTGCAAAATGTTCCAGAGCAGCCAACAAAACAAGTCTTGACTTTCCAAGGGTCCAAAAATCAATCCATTTAAGATATTAAAATCACACCTGGAGTTCCTCTACCAATCAACAGTAGTAGTAGTGTGTGCGGGGTGGGGGGGGGGGGGGGGAGGGGGGAATCCTAAAGACCTTTGATGGCACAAGTAAGAACCGTTTAGTCATTCTCAAGCACGATAGTGTAAGAAGAGAGATCTTGTTCAGGAAATGTTATCTTGAGTCAAGTGTCCTGACAAAATGAAAAATGAAGCTCTGGCTTGTGAAATAAAAGTAATGAAAGATGTAGATCCACAAGATGGGCCAAATTGTAGTCTAATGGGATTTCAATTGATGCAATCTACAATGTGATAATTGGAGGCAGTGACATCCTTGATCATTTTCAAGTGTTGATTTGTAGCTCTAAACCACAGTTTAATTGAGCTATTGACTGGCAGGAGGCAAAATTCACATAACCTTTAAGCTTCTTCAGAATAAAGGAGGTGGGGTTATCTCTTCAAATTTTTGGCATGGAACCTATTTCATTGATTATGATGGATGCCTTTCAATAAAAGGGAAGCCAATTCAAGTGCCAATTTCGTGAAAGAAATCAGCTGGGAAACCATCTGGCCCTGGAGCTTTGCCTTCCTGCAAAACACTAATGGCCTGTAACAACTCTTCCATGATGATGAGTATATTAATCTGTGGTTTGTGCCAGAATCCGTATCCAGGATCAGGAAAAAAGCCGATCTACCCGAATTAAAATCGGCTTGTCAGTTGTGACACCAGAGTAGATGTTTTTCTCACTATTCTTGAAGATATTTTGCTGTTTCATGTATACTTGGGGGTACTGCACTATATATGCTGTGCTTTATATACTCTTGGGGATACTGGTGATGGTCAGTCTACAGTATCCAGGACAGATAAGCCACTTTTGTATACGGTTCACAAGGGTTTGACAATATAGGGATCACAAGGGAGCCTGAACCCCATCCTCATATCTAAACACATACATGTTCCAACAGGGGTTATGAACAAGAGCCCTGTCTGATTTTTCCCATCCTAAATCCAGGGGTTACAACTCTGAACATAGCGTTCATACCTACTTGTTCCCCATCTGACATCAGATGACCCAGCATAGACCAACACTCAAACTTAGGACCCTCGCGGTCTATATAGACCCTCGCAGTCTATATAGACCCTCGCGGTCTATAGAGACCCTCGCGGTCTATAGAGACCCTCGCGGTCTATAGAGACCCTCGCGGTCTATAGAGACCCTCGCGGTCTCTATAGACCCTCGCGGTCTCTATAGACCCTCGCAGTCTCTATAGACCCTCGCAGTCTCTATAGACCCTCGCAGTCTCTATAGACCCTCGCGGTCTCTATAGACCCTCGCAGTCTCTATAGACCCTCGCAGTCTCTATAGACCCTCGCAGTCTATATAGACCCTCGCAGTCTCTATAGACCCTCGCAGTCTATATAGACCAGCTATTTACCTGGATAAAGCTGAACCATTTTAAACTATTTGTCTTCAGTCTTAATACAACTTATTACATTCCCAGAATTGTCATAACACCCGTATCAAAATCGCGTATCAGTATTATTAAGAATAAGAAACGTCAGATGTCCCGCTACAAATATATCCTTTTCATTTGAACACATTTTGTTGTGTGCGCTGAGGAACGCGAAGGATGGCATTGGATTGAGAGAACACGAAAAACCTCAAATAGATGTGATCACCAGAAGGAGATCGTTCACAAACAGCGGATAACACGCAAACCACTAAACACGGGGGAGAGCTCCCAATGTATCTCCCAGTCACTGTGGGCGGTCTCGGATCAGGTTGCGAGTCTCAGTTGGATCTGCGCTCAGTGTGTGTGTGTGTGTGTGTGTGTGTGTGCGGGTGTGTGTGTGTGCGGGTCAGTAAGTAAGTAAAGTTAATGCAAAGAGTAGGTGTGCGGCTGCTCTCACAGTCACGGTGGTCTGTCTGGTGGGGAGATCTCTGTCACTGCCAAGAAAACATTTGCGCTTAAACCAGACCAGAGTTCGCCACTTGCACACGAACGCCCTCCAGAGAGAGCAGATCTCGGTGCCTTTTTAACAGCTGCAGCTCACGTTTACTCGTGTGTGTGTTTTTTTTTCTCTCCCCCTTTTTGCCCCTCATCTCCGGGAAACGCACTCGGTCTTTCCTTTAAACGGCTTTGGTTTGGCTTCTCGCCCTCTTCTCGGTTGATATGGTGGGATGTCCGTCCTGTTTGTTTTGCGGGAACAGTTTGGCAAATCTGCTCATTTCTTTTTGATTTGTTTGCTGTTGACTTGTCCAGAATCGGAGCAAACTGAGGCCACACCGCAAACCCGCGTCAAAGAACCCGATCGATTGAACTCCAAAGCGAACAGATGTTAAGGTCACGCGTTAAAAAAAAAAATCTTACACCGGGAATACTGAACGGTCTTCGGACTGAGTCCGATCTGCGAGTGTTGTGCTCGAACGACGCTCTCATTGACCCAAAATGCTGCCAGAATGTGTCCCCATCTTTTACACATTTTTTTTTATACGGATTATGGGCTGCAGTTCGTCTTCATAAAAAAAGGGCTTTAGGTCGTAACGTTAACCACACACACAAAAAAAAGTATTTAAAGCTGTTTCAGATCGTTTTGCAATTCCTATTGAGGTCTGCACTGTTATAATAATAATAGTAATAATAATAATAATCATTGCACTGTTGGTACAGATCTGAGGACAGGAGATCGGAGTAACCAACACATCTCTGATACCTACAGCTCTCACCGCAGCCCTTTAAACGAAAAATCGGTGTCGGTGGATGGTTTAAAGTCTGCGTGTGACATCCTGCCACCAAACCCTTGAAGTTTGGTGATGGAAAGGAGAGGGTGAAGAGGGTGAAAAGATACAGAAAGAGAGAGAGAGACAGAGAGAGAGAGAGAGAGAGCGCAGTGAAGAGATTGCGAGGAGTTCAGGAGCAATACAGTTCGGATGCTCTCTCTGTCTGTATTTCCCTCTCTCTCTCTCTCTCTCTCACACTCACACACCCACACGCTCACTCCTGGTTCCCATCACTGGCAAATAGCACACAACAACAACAACAACAACAAGAACAAGAAGAAGATGGGGAAAAAAAACACGCCACTTAAAGGAGAGAGAGAGAAAAAAAAAGCTGTGTTACTTACGTCTCTGAATTTGTTCCAGTGCCCGGGCTCGCTGTCATACTGTGAGATAGTCGTCAGCCATTGCTTATCATCCAGAAAATTGCCGCTGTCCGACGTGGCTCTTTGCCTACCTTCCGTGTGCAGGAAAGCCACGGCGGCAACACACACCAGAGCCCTTATCATCTGCAGAGAGAGAGAGGAGAGAGAGAGAGGAGGGAGAGAGAGAGAGAGAGAGGGGAAAATAAAATGATTCCCGTGCCTGTGTGTGAGTATGGGGGTGCAGTGGGGGGTGCATGTGAAAGTTAAGTGGGGGGCACTTTTCCTTGGCTGGTGGGAGAGGCGAGTGGTCACCTTGCTTTAGCTGCAGCTCCGCGCTTTGCTGTTGCTGTTGCTCTGCCCTCCCTCCCTCCACAGCTCCGCGCGGCGCGATCTCCAGCGCCCTGAGTGACTGAGAGAGAGAGGGGAGGGGAGGGGAGAGGGGGGGGGGGGGGGGGGGCGGGCAACCTGCGCACAGAGCAAGCGAGCAAGTACGCATCCAGCGTGACAACCCCCCCCCCCTCTCTCTCTCTCACACACACACACACACACACAGCAGCAATAACTTGCTCGAAAGGAAAGTCCGTGCTGCCTGCACATACATGCATACATACATGCATGCATACATGCATACATACATACATACATACATACACACTGTACTGTACTTGCTGTACATTCCGGCAATGAATGGCACTGGAGCATCTCCCCGCTCCCCACACACTACAAGCAAAGGTGATTTAAGTCCATGCATTGTGTCCCCATCAGTAACTCAGCATATGATGTGATGTCCCCCTGACACAGGTTATTTGGGACCTCTATCTCTCGGTTTAACCAACTACAGATTGGATTTTTTTTTAAAAATTAAAACAGATATGACACACAACTGCACCTTAATAGCACCGTGTTGTCCTGGTAGAGGTACAGTGACTGTGAAACATCACCTGGGTTTGAATGGAAAAGGGAATCACGTTATAAAGTTTCACAGTACAGTATGAGGACAACAATGAACATTTTTTTCGATTGAACCTTTTAGTTATAACAAGAGGTTTTTTTTTCCTTTGGGTTTCTAATACCTATTTTGAAAAAAAAAGTTAGAAGAATGCTGATGGGACCGGGTTCAAGCTGCAGTCAAACTAAATCCTTTGAAAAGATATGCACTTAAACGGAGTGATGAGTGACATGTTAGAAATTTGAAAAAAAAACTTATTATCCAGTGAATTCCATATCATATCAGCCACTTTGCCCGATTATAACTACAAGGTGCAGTTTCCCTGTAAGATAATCAAGAGGACGAAAAAAGTAATTACCTCTGGGCTGTCAGCTCTTTGAGTTCTAGTTTATGAATGAACATGTAGTGCTTGTTATACCAGCGCTTGGAGATCCTGTAATCTCCCGCCTTCTCGCCCTGCCCACGCAAATGTACTACTCAAAAACAAATTATACAGTTTACTATAACTAATGAGCTTTTTTTTTGACTTATTGATTACTTCTAAATTGATTTTAATTTGACACATTTTTTATCACACCGAAAATCTAGTCAATGGGATAGAGACACTGATTGGCCTTCTTCTATGCTGTACGTGTCTGTTGTTCTACTGTATAAAGTTAACTTGCTTACACTGTCAGAAATATGGACAAGAAATCCTGCTAAGGAAACACACTTTGAATCATTTTTTTCTTATTTTGTTTTCCATTTATGGATTGATGATACACAGAGGTGGGAGGGATGATCTGATAAGTTCAGCAGCGAGTTGTGAAGGTCTGGAATGAAATGGGTGTATAGCTGTTCCCAGCCTCACACTCCACTTGTACAGAGGTATGTGTGTGTGTTGGAGGGGGGGGGGGGGGTCCATGTGTTGTAGGAGCTCTCTTCAAACTCTCCCACCTTGGAAGTTGTCGGCACTAACGTCTTATGACTTTAAAATAACACTCGCTTGATCCAAGAATGCAATATTGGACTTAAGTCTAAAATATTGGTATGATATAGGATGTTTCACTGACCACTGATAGGAATAACACACCATTTTCGTAGCTTAAATTGTATCCAGGTGATAATTCACTCGGTGTAACTGACGTGAAACATAGTAATGTGGATATACAGTATGTCATATGCTTTTTTTTGAGGCCAAAGTCATTGCAATAACGCTTTCACAAAATGAGCAGAGATTGGATTCCCGATTCCCTTCGTAACAAGACAACATTATCTCAAGCGATTCCTTGCAGAGGGTGAGCAAACTGTCAGTACATTTTTTGAAGATCTAAACTATTCAACGCGTTCAAAAACTTTGAAATAACTATTCGAGTCTCGCTCACTCGATCTCGCTGAGTAAAGTGCATCTGGAATAGTTGGTGCTGACATGGCCATTGGTCCCCTCTCCAGGGATCTCCTGAGACTTTTTAAAAAAAATATCTGAAGAGGCAGAGCTGCACTGTTCCCCTGACAGGCAGAACATGTTATGCACCATTGGGGTGATCACCCTGGAGCTCCACAGACCTGCAGTCCAGTCTGACCCCATTGCTGAGCAGTCTGTGGGACTGTGAGAAACGCTCTGGTCTCACTGTGGTTCCAGTCACTCCAACTGATACCGAGTGTGGATGGAAGTCAACAAGATTAGCGGAGTCGGTCAAGGCTTCTGACAATCAATCCGAATTATTTAAGTGTATATATATATATACACTTAATATATATATATATATATATATACATACATATATATACATATATACACATATATATAACCTGGTTTTGTGTAAGGCAATTTAATGTATCATCATAAATTAATTAAATACAAAGCAGTTCATTGCAAGAATAATTTGGTCAGCCTTCCAACTGCAACGTAAAACAAACTGATGGTGCAGGTCTGGTTCAGCCTGGACAGTGCAGAAACAGAGAGAGAGACAGAGAGCTGAACTCATCGTCAAAATACAAAAAAAAACAACACCCGATTGTGTATGACCCTCCGAGAGAAGCAGATGCAGCTTTTACTTATTTTACATTTCCAGCACTGTGGCATAATTTTTGCTTCCTATTTTAGCGATTCTTACATGGAACAAGCTGTCAAGAAAACACACAGGGTGGCTGCGTCTCTCTTTTTAGGCAAATTACCGATTTATTAAAGAGGCTCCTGCCTTTCAAGAATGCCAATTATTTAAACAGAAACCAGTGATCTGGTTGCACTGCTCTCGACGAACAGCATCACAACACGATTGCAGCCACTTTAAAATGCACGGGTTGGTCCCAGTGATTGCAATTCAGAATTCAGCACGTTGTCCCCAAGAGCAATTCAGTTGATGGAGTGCAATGTCCAAAGGCAGCGGTATTCCAGTTTCTGAATCGCAAGATAATGATGTGTATTTAGTGTTAAGAGCTGAACGTTTTTTTTTGTAACATGAGGTATTAAAACGCATGCATTAAACATGCCCTGAGCTCGCTGGCTGAAGGCGCATTGGTGAACGGAGGGATTCAGAGCGCAAGTTGGAAAGTACTGTGTGCTGTCCTGCACACCAGTGACAGGACGCATTGGGCAGATCGTTTGCACTGGAGACCACCCTCCACCGCTTCTCATCCACATCGACCAGCGACCATTTCCCCACAGCTTGCGGAGTTGTTAAACCTGGAGTCAAAGAACAGCTCGGCGCCCCCTCACGCAAACCAAGCGCAATATGGCACCACAATCCTGTGCTCCAGCACCAGGAGCCCCCGAGACACACAGCAATGCACTTCCAGCTTCAACAAAACCACCTCCCGCACTTCCCACTTTACTTTACAGACATCTAACAATAATAATAAAAAAATAAACAGCCGCTGGAAGTGTTTTTCTCTCTCTCTCTCTCTAAGAATAAAGAATTGTAACACAGGCATTTGCTGTCCAGATTCAGCAGTGACAGGATCCGATTTCCCCTTTTTGCTGTTTTTTTTCCTCCCCTCTAAAAACCGAATAACTGGTGGGAATGACTTTACCTTTTCTGGAAAACCAAAGGGAAAACGCATCAACAGATGGTGTTGTTTGCTCTCTGTGTCTGTGACTGGACGAGCGGATTATTTTTATATAAAGAAAAAAGAGGAAAACAAAACACTCAGCCAAGGAACAGAAATACCTGCTTTTTCCTTAGCAATTTGCTCCATACGTTGGAGTCACGTACAGTGGAGTCAAGGAACGCGAGCGCCTCCTCGCGGCTCACTGCGTTCCAACATTGCGGTTTTGCATCTCTGCAAACCCCCCCCTCCCATCTCCGGCCCGAAAAGCAACACATTAAAATGATGTTCGGCAATGTTTTGCTGAGTTGGAGCTCATTGGTGTGTCCTTCTGAACTGTGTGAATGAAATGCGCACAGATACCCCGTTGCGCGCAAACGCTCTGCATTTCACTGAGTAACGGTTCAAACGCCTGGTAACGGGAGGAGAGGAGAGGAGAGGAGTGCAGTAGTTTTTTTTCCCAGAGGGTGATGTTCAGAGTGTACCACAGCCCGAAGCCCTCCTCTCACTAATCCAAGCCAGGGATAGAATGCGAGCCCCACCACATCTCAGTGACACCTCCAGCAACGGGATCTTCGGAGAGAAGATTCCCACAAGTGTGCAGTGATATAGCTGTACAGAAGTGAATATACCAATCATCCTTCAACAACAGCACCTTCCACTTATATAGCGCCCCTCAGGCAGGGTAGCGTCCCAGAGCGCTTGTCAGTGGAGGAGCACAACACTGAGCTGGGGGGGATGGTGACTGTAGGCACAGTCCAAGAGGTCTTCAGGTTTGACCTGAAGCTGGGGAAGGGAGGGGCAAAGTGCAGGGATAGAGGGAGAGTGTTCCAGAGTTTCGGGGGGGGGGGGGGGTAGTGACTGAAAGTGCAGCCACTGATATTGAAATCACCAGCGAGAAGCAGAAGGCGAGAGCAGAGCCAGTGGGTCAGTGGGTTGGGGAATAAAAGTTCATCAGGCACATCAGGGTGTGCTCCAAGAACATGTATTTAACAATATATTGGGGTTTTGAAATGTGGTTATTTCTTGAAATGGGCTGTGCAAATTCCGTGTAAAGTGTCATGTTGACAACTATTGGATTTATAACAGCTTGCATTTCTACAGGATGAATCAAAAGTCCTTACTCATCATAGATCTATTTGAGATGTTCAAGCTGCATACTATGTAGATGTTTACACATATCAACTCAGTGACAAAAGCTTTCGCTAGCACGGTGAAATACATCTCCTGTAATAGCTGCACTCTCTACGAAAGTTGTCTTAAAAAACGAACATAATTAATAAGTAAAAACCCTATGAGTAAGGATTTCTGATTCACCCTGTACAGTACAACAACAACTTGGATTTATATAGTGCTCTCCACGCCGGACGGCATCTCTGAGCGCTTTACAGTAACTGATCCCGGGACCGAGCCAGGGGG